ACTCAATCCCGGGTCTCCAGGATCACCACCTGAGCCAAAGGCAGATGCTCAACCACTAAGCCACCCAGGTGTTCCAACGTGCTAGGTTATTTTTTTGTGTGTGTGTGCTAGGTTATTTTTGCTGTATGAAGGCTTCTCTCCTATGGGGATGAAGACAGCCCGAGCTTCCTTGTCAGCACATCACAGTGATGGGACAGCAGCTGTCACCTGTTAGTTTGGCAAAAATTTTCAAGCTTGATGCTCTTCTATCCTTGGGAGGGCATGAGCAAGACACGCGCTCTCGGACTCTGCTGGTGTGATTGGTGTACATGTTTTTTTTTGGAGAAAGGTTTGGCAAAAGGCATCAATGGTTTTGTTTTGGTTTTTGTGTGTATGTTTTTTAAGATTTTATTTATTCATGAGAGACACAGAGAGAGGCAGAGACACAGGCAGGGGGAGAAGCAGGCTCCCTCTGGGGAGCCGGATGTGGGACTCAATCCTGGGACCCCGGGGTCACGCCCTGAGCTGAAGGCAGATCTCAACCACTGAGCCACCCAGGTGCCTTCCCCCCTTTTTAAAAAAAGATTTTATTTGGTTGGCATGTTAAATATCTACCCGTCAGGACTGGATCTGTGCACCGGGAGCAGCTCTGGAGAACGAGCGGCCCGGGGGGTGTGGCCAGGCCCCACGACAGACCAGGCCAGATGTTGCAGAAAGTAAATGCGGATGCTTCTGTATGCATTAATACTTATGCACGTACACACATGTGCTGGACTTTGGTCTAGAAAGATGTACCTTGAACAGAAGATATTGATCTCTGGGGGGAGGGATTGGGAAGAAAGAGAAATGATGTTATTTTATTTATATATTTTTGGGGGGGTTGGACCCCAATGTTACATTAGTTTCAAGAGTACCGTCTAGTGATTTAACAAGAAAGGCTTGAGTTTCATTATATCTCTCTGGACTTTTCACTGTTTCTAGGAATAGCATGTGTTACTTTTCTGTTTTTTTTGTTGTTTGTTTTTTTGAACAGATGCATTATTCTTTCGTGACCAAATGTTCAAACACAGGGACAAGTAGGCCATGATGACTGGAAGGGAAACAGAATAACTGCATTTTCAGGATAAGGGTGGCAGGGGGATTCATGTAGGGCAGAGTGGGGGCACGCCAAGGGGCTTCCAGGGACAGGAAGAGGCTGTTTCTTGGCCTGGGTGGTGGGCACCTGAGTGTTTGTTTAGTTTATTATTGCTTTTTTAGCTGTACGGACGTTCCTATACCTACTCATATGTAAGATACACTTCATGATTTTAACAATAGGCACGTGTGGGACGCCTGGGTGGCCCAGAGGTTGAGCATCTGCCTTTGGCTTAGGGCGTGATCCTGGGGTCCTGGGATAGAGTCCCACATCGGGCTCCCTGCAGGGAGCCTGCTTCTCCCTCTGCCTGTGTCTCTGCCTCTCTCTGTGCATCTCTCATGAATAAATAAATAAAAATCTTTAAAAAAAGAAAACAATAGGCATGTGTTAGGTGGGGCAGTGGGTCCCCTATGGTTTTAGGTCGGCTTCACCTGAACTTGATGACGTGAATTTGCTCTTATATTTCAGACCTTCCCTTTCCACTCTTTATGCCTCTTTCCGTTTCTGGATTCCACGGTTTCCTTGCCTCTTCATGACAAGGCCACCCACCTAACAGTTGCCGCCCCTCCCCGGTCCTGCAGGGCAGGAAAACGCCATAGTCTGTGGGCAGAGGGCTCATACCCAGGCAATTACGGAATTAGGAATTAATGCATTACCTAAGCTCATTCTTATCAAAGTCGTGCTGTCCCCCAAGCTGCCTGCTAAGTTCTGGCAGCCAGGCCACTGCTGCCTGGAATAGTCTGGCCAGTGGTGATCAGGGGACAGTGGGTGTCAGGCAGCGGGGCTACCTGGGGGGGGGGGGTTCTCGGTTGGTGGTGGGGCAACAGGTAGAGTGGGTGTTGTGCATTTGTCATCTCTACATAGGAAGGACAGCATGCATCTATTTTTTATGGTCAGAAGGATTTTTCTGGGTATTGTGTTCGGGGCATTTTTGTTTTCTTTATATCAGTTTACTTTTTTTTCATGCTACTATTTTTTAAGTATTTTTAAGTCAAAGGGGGATTTATTGGAAAGATGCAGAGGTGCCTCAGTTGAAGGACGTGCTGGGCGCCAGCCTGCAGGAGGCTGTGAGCACAGCCGGCGGGGGCGGGGATGGCCCAGGCTTGCTGTGGTCTCCGCGTGTCCTTATGTGGCCCAGGTGGCATCCGGGCTTCTCTGCATGGCCAACAGGCTGCCCCCGGCCCTGTCCTGTGGCAGCTGGGTTCCTATGGGACATTCTTAGGGAGGGCGTCCTCCCCTGCGCCCAACAACCCTGGCCCGAGGCCGGGCGTCTCTAAGTACCTGGTGGTCCTCTGGGGTCCCAGGCTGGAGAAGAGAAGGGACGGGCACTGAGAAGACGACCCTTCATCTGCGCTTACTCGGCTCTATCCTTACCGGGCGCCTCTCGTGCAGGGGCCTGGGCTTCATGCCTTGAACATGTGACACCAGCAAGACCAGAGACTAGAGAACTTGGGCTCTCAGAGCCACCTGCCAGGAGCCCGTGGGGGCCACGCTCCCTGTGGGCAGAAGGAAGGGGAGCTTTCTGTAGCGGGCAGAAGGTGCCCTCCTCACACTCCACAGAGGGCTTGGGGTGTCGCCCACTGGGAGGGGACTCATGGCTAAGAAGCCAGACCTGGTGCCCGGGGGCTGCCACTGCTGGAATTGCCAGTTGCCTGGTAGGCTGGGATTTGGGGGTCCAGCCCGGAAGTCATGGTGTCCGCTGGGACAAAACTGTCGGGTTTGTAGGGTGTTATTGTAGAAACACAAAGCCCAGGCCTGAGTCTGATGCCTGGCCCCACACATGGGGCAGGAAGCTGTGTACCGGCACCTGCTCTGTCACCAGCATCAGGCACCTGTCCTGTTCTGGGAACCAGCAGAGACTGCCGCAGGGCTGGGGCAGGAGGGGGAGGGGCCCCTCCTGCTAGAGGCCTGTGTGTGGGCCTCAAGGGCCTGAGCACAACCTCCCCCCCAGTCACCCCACGAGCGGCTGGGGTCTCCCAAGCAAAGTGCTCTCCCGGAGAATGCCGGCCATTCGGAGCCAGTGACCGCAGCTGCGCCGCGAGGGCTTGGGAGTATTGGCACCGGCTCCCTCCACCCACACTCGACTCTCCATGTGGGCGGTGTCCCCAGGGGGCTTGGTCCGCCACCTCTTCTACCTCTACGGTTTGGGGTTTGGGGCGTGCTTGTGTGTAACATTCCTGCACCATGTGGCGGTGAGGGTCTGTCCCCCCCCAACTGTGTGCAGAATGAGTGGAAATCCCAGCTGGGCCCTGGGCCCTGGGGTAGAGCCAGTTCCAGGGGCCCCTACCCCAACCACTGTCATCAAGGCTCAGTCCTGTGGGGAAAGGTACCATTTCTCAGTTGTAGCCGAGGGATGGGAAGTGGGATGGGTGGGTAGGGGGTGGAAGGCTCTGGACGTGTGGTGGCACCCACCACCATGGGCAGTCATGGGCCAGTCCCCTGCCCCTTCTGTGCCCACACCCACCCTCCGCCTTGGGGCATCAGATAGGGGTGGGGTAGGCAGGCTGGTTGGGGCCAGAGAATCGGAGAGCAGAGCAGTGGGGTGGAAGGAGGGAGCGGTGGGCCCCTGGGTCCCTCTGGGCCTCTGACACAGTCACTCTGTCCCCGTCCATGTGGGTGCCCACAGGACACCTGGGTTGTGGAGCTGATTCTGGTCACATAGGGAAGCCAGTGACAGGGTACCCTCCCTCCCTCCCCTCGGACCTCGATGCTGTTGCTGTTTGTAGGCCACTCCCTCCTCCTTGCGGCTAGGGTGGTGACGGCTGGGCCAGTGCAGGGGACCTCATTCCAAATAAAGCTCTGCATTTGTCAGAATCCCTGGCCCAGGCCCTGAGCAGGGGCCATTAGGGTGTAGGCAGCTGCATGAAGCAGGTGAGCTTGGCCCAACAGATCCCAATAGATTCCCTCTGCGGGGCTGCAGCTGAGAGCCTGGAACGACAGCCTGTTGGCGGTGGAAGGAGCGGCCTCCAGGACATGTGGGAAATGGACCAGCTGCATGGACCCTCTGGTCTTTGGTGTCCTTGAGTGTGACATGGGGGCGAGGAGGAGGGACCTTCTGGGCAGAGTAAGGACCCCCCAAAATGACGGACCCCAAAGTGTTTTGTGAAGTGTACAAGGAACACAGGGGCACAGGATCAGTAAAGCAGACTGTAGAATCTCCGGCTTTCCTCAGTCTCTCTGTGTGAGTGTGGACCTGAGTCCTCTCTCATCCCTTTGGGACAATGCTAATCGCTTCCCCAGGGGGGACTGAGCCCCAACCCAGTGAGCACACACGGGGAGCTTCTTCCAAGAAAACCCAGATTCCTGACACCCCATCTCTGGCATCCTCCTAACCCAGGGTTCTTTAGGGGTGGAACCTAGGAACACAAATCTTCAGCAGGCACCTCAGAGGGTCAAGGCGGGTGGCTCAAGGAGACTTTATTTTTAAAGATTTTATTTTTTCATGAGAGACAGAGAGAGACAGAGACACAGGCAGAGGGAGAAGCAGGCTCCCCGCGGGGAGCCCGATGCGGGACTTGATCCCAGGACCCCGGGGTCACTCTTTGAGCCCAAGGCAGGCGTTCAGCCGCTGAGCCACCCAGGCGTCCCTCAAGGAGACTTTAGTGTAAAAACTTGAACCACCAGTTCGAGGGCGCTCATCTCGAAGGAAGCATTACCAGGTTTGGCCACAAGGTGGCAGCAGAGAGGCCAGGAGAACCGGGCGTGGGCGGCAGGTGCGGGAGGTGAGCTCACCTGGGCTCGGCCTGTGGAAGGGGGCGGCCCCCACGCCGCACGGCCTCCTTTGCTAGGTACCAGTTGTGCCCTGCAGCCGCCTCTCTCAGCCGCAGGCCTTCGTGGAGGAGACTGCCGAAGTCTGTGGGCAGCAGCCGCAGGCCGTGACCTTAGCTGGGCTGGGAGTGGTGATGAGTTCCACGTGAGTGACAGAAGACAAGGGACGTCACTTGCGCGGGGCAGCTCACGCAAAGGAAAACAGCGCAGGTTGGCAGCAGGGGTACCCCACCCGCCCGACAGGCTGGTAGGTCCAGGTGCTCATAAAGGACCCGCACCTGCAGGGTTGGCTCCAGTCCCCGGAGGGTCAGGCCGGGCCGGGGCGCCGGCCAGCAGCAGGCAGAGGATGCTGGGACGGGGCAGCTGCCTCCGGGAGCAGCCAGGACGTCTCTGGCTGCCACTGCAGGGGGAAGAGGATTAGATGACAGTCCCCTAACCCGGCCCGGAACTAACACCGCCCCCCCCCCCCGCCCCCTGCACACCCTAGCCTGTCCCCCTAAAGCTGCCAGAGCTCAGAATAACCCCGAGGACCAGACAGCGGGATGGCAGGGGCTCTGCTTGGTGTCCTGCTCCTCCTGCAGCTCCTGGGTACGCGCGTGCTCGGCCTCCTGCGGGCGCGACACTGACACGCAGGATGGGGCAGAGCCAGCAGGACGCAGGGTCTGGCTAGGGGCAGACACATGGAGCAGCGGGAGTCGCCCCCAGCCCCTCCTGGGCAGCGAGCCCACTGCCTCACCCCATCAGCAGGTGGAGCTGAGGCCAAGAACCAGGAGCTGCATCTGTACCACCATCTCTTCGACAACTACGACCCAGGAAGCCGGCCCGTGAAGGAGCCTGAAGACACGGTCACCATCACCCTCAAGGTCACCCTCACCAATCTTATCTCCCTGGTAAGATGCCCCCACCCGCACCCACTGTCCTGGGGGCTGGTTCGGACCTCCACCACCCTGACCCCGCTCGTCTGCAGAACGAGAAGGAGGAGACCCTGACCACCAGCGTGTGGATTGGAATCGTGAGTGAGAGCCGGGGAGCCGAGTGGGGGTCCTGCCCAGGTCTCCCCAACTCCTGCGGGCGCCAGGTGGAGACGCAGGGCACTGCCGGCCATCCCCACCCCTAGGACTGGCAGGATTACCGACTCAACTACAGCAAGGGCGACTTCGGGGGCGTGGAGACCTTGCGGGTCCCTTCAGAGCTCGTATGGCTCCCGGAGATTGTGCTGGAGAACAAGTGAGGCCGGCGGCCCTGCACCTGGCGGGCGGGGCTTGCCCTGGCGCGCGCGGGGCCGGGGTTGGGCCCGGGCAGACGCCGGCTCTCTCGCTCGCGGCGCCCACAGCATTGACGGCCAGTTCGGCGTGGCCTACGACGCCAACGTGCTGATCTACGAGGGCGGCTACGTGAGCTGGCTGCCCCCCGCCATCTACCGCAGCACCTGCGCCGTGGAGGTCACCTACTTCCCCTTCGACTGGCAGAACTGCTCGCTGGTCTTCCGGTGGGACAAGCTGCTCAGGGGCGGGGGGCAGGGAAGGGGCTGGGGGGCGGTGGCCAGGAGGGCAGGGGGCAGGGCGGGGCCGCCGGGGAATGGGATGTGGGGGTCCCGCCTCCGAGCTCCCGGGGCGCGCCGGGCCCTGGCTCCGCAGCTCGCAGACGTACAATGCCGAGGAGGTGGACTTCGTCTTCGCCGTGGACGACGACGGCGAGACCATCAGCAAAATCGACATCGACACGGAGGCCTACACGGGTGAGGCCCCCTCTGCTCCGAAAACCCGCCCCCGCACGGGCCCGGGGTGGGGGTGGGGTACTGGCCAGCTGGGGCGACCGCAGACCGTGGAGACCAGGGTGGACGCCGCCGCCGGCCCTGCTCGAAAGCACCCCCGACCGTCCCGGGCCCCGTCCCTCCCACCCCTTCCCGCCCCGCAGAGAACGGCGAGTGGGCCATCGACTTCTGCCCCGGGCTGATCCGTCGCCCCAACGGAGCCTCCGCTGGGGGCCCGGGGGTCGTCGACGTCATCTACACGCTCATCATCCGCCGGAAGCCGCTCTTCTACGTCATCAACATCATCGTGCCCTGCGTGCTCATCTCGGGCCTGGTGCTGCTCGCCTACTTCCTGCCGGCGCAGGGTAAGGGGCCGCGGGACCCTGAGCCCGGCTCGCTGCTGGCGGGGCGGCTCTCACCGGGCGCTCCCTCCAGCCGGCGGCCAGAAGTGCACCGTTTCCATCAACGTCCTGCTCGCCCAGACCGTCTTCCTGTTCCTGATCGCTCAGAAAATCCCCGAGACGTCGCTGAGCGTGCCGATGCTGGGCAGGTGACGGCAGAGGGTCCCGGGGCAACCCGGGGGGGACGCGGGGGCGGGGCCAGGCACACACGGAGGCGGAGTCAGGAGCACGCGAGAGGAGCCGGGCAGGCGACACCGGGAGCAGCTCGGGGGTCCGCGCCCTCCTGGGCTTTATTTGAGCGTGGGGTGGGACTGGGGCGGCGGTGGGTGCTCGGGTCCCCCGTCCTCCGCGCTGCTGCTGGACGCCACCTCGAGGCCTCCTGAGTATCTCTGTTGGGGATGGGCCGGCTCAACCCCTTCCCGCGAGCCCCGCCACCACCCCAGCCCCCCACTCCCCTCCCCCGGCCTCGAACTCCCCGGTGCCCCCATCCCGAACTCACCGGTCCTCCCTCGGTCCCGAGGCCCGGCGGGCGCCGCCAGTGCTGCAGGAGGGAGGAGGACCCCCGCAGGCCCCGCCCGCACAGGCACAGCCACGCCCCCTGCAGCACCAGCCGGGCGCTGGCGCCCACCGCGGCCCCCGCCTGCCGCACCCCGTGCCCCGCGGCCTGGGCTAGCCGGCTCAGCGCTGCGCCCGGGTCCCCCGCGCCCGGGGCTGGGCCCGGACAGCCGGCGCCGCCGTCCAGTCGCCGCGCCTCCTGCTGCAGCCACAGGGCTGAGATCTGCCGTGGGGGGTGCAGGGGTTGGGGGATGTGGGGGCCCGTGCCCCCGTGCCCCCTCCTTCCGCAGCCCCCCAGCCCCACCTCACACACTGTGGCGCCGAAGCTCACGACGCTGGCCGCGGCCTCTCTGAGCACCAGCCTCAGGGTGGGCGTCGGGGCGGGCGGCCCCTGCGGCTCCCGGTGGGACTCAAGCTCTTGGAACCTCTGCTCCAGATACTCGTGGGCTGAGGCCACGGCGAGTTCCAGGGAGGACAGCAGCGGGGGCTGCAGGGCCACCTGGACACGGAGCAGGGGGAGCGGGGACAGCGGGGCCGTCGGGGCCGGGGACAGTGCGCGGGGAGCGCGGGGCCGCGGGCGCAGCCTCACCTCCGTAGAGCTGTGGAAGTGGTACACCCACAGCAGGGTTTCCAGGGAGCTGGGGGTCCCCTTCATGGTTGCGGGCGGAAGAGGGAGCACCGAGCCGCGGGCGTCTGGCTCCGCTGGGGAGGAGCAGACTCGCCAGCGAGGCCGGTCGTTTGTGAGGTCACACGCCGCGGGCTCTGCAGGTACCTCATCTTTGTCATGGTGGTTGCCACGATCATCGTCATGAACTGTGTCATCGTGCTCAACGTGTCTCTGCGGACGCCCACCACACACGCCATGTCCCCGCGGCTGCGCCACGTGAGAGCCGCGAGGGGGACGGCTCCGGGGGCGGGGCGATGATCCGGACGGGGCGGGGCCTCGAGCTCGCTTCGCCCCGCCCCCAGGTCCTGCTGGAGCAGCTGCCCAGCCTCCTGGGCTCCAGCGCACCCCCCGAGGCTCCCCGGGCCGCCCCGCCGCCCAGGCGCGCGTCCTCGGTGGGCCTGCTGCTCCGTGCGGAGGAGCTGATCCTGAAAAAGCCGCGGAGCGAGCTCGTGTTCGAGGGGCAGAGGCACCGGCACGGGGCCTGGACTGGTGAGCTGAGGGGCGCGCGCGGGCCGGCGGGGGCGCTGGCGGCAGGGGCGTCCCGCAGTGACACTCCCCTCCCTCTCTCCCTCCCTCCCCGGCGCCCCAGCAGCTGCCCTCTGCCAGAGCCTGGGCGCCGCCGCCCCCGAGATCCGCTGCTGCGTGGAGGCTGTGAACTTCGTGGCCGAGAGCACGCGGAGCCAGGAGGCCTCCGGCGAGGTGGGGCAGCCCGGGGGGTGGGGGCGGGGGACGCCTGGAGGCTGGAGGCTGCCAGTCTCTGGCTCCGCCGGACACGCAGCTTTGTGTCCGCCCCTCCCCAGGAGGTGTCCGACTGGGTGCGCATGGGGAAGGCCCTGGATCACCTCTGCTTCTGGGCCGCCCTGGTGCTGTTCGGCGTGGGGTCCAGCGTCATTTTCCTTGGGGGCTACTTCAACCAAGTGCCTGAGCTGCCCTACCCACCGTGCATGTAGCCGGCTTCCCCACCCGGTTCCCGGGGCGGGGGGCTGCTGTACGGTGATCCTTTACCGACCTCACTTTTATCGACCGCCCGACCGCCCCTAATAAATCGGAGCTTTGCCAACCTCACAAGAGTTGTGTGTGCGTGCCGCATGTAGGTCTGGCCACCGCGGGGTCCGGAGCCGAGGGTTCTCGGGTGCCGGTCCCCCGGAAACCACTCGGTATCCCTCCTCAAGCCTTGCTGACCCCTCTAGCCCCGGGAGCTGTTATCGTCATCAGCGGATCGCCAAACTTAAAGGTCCCCTCCAGCCCACAGGGGAAGGCTGAAGGCACCCCTCCCCCTCCAGTCTTTCTTCCGGGTTTCTGGACCCAGCACCACCCCCTCCCTCCCAGTTCTGCTGGCTTACCCTGGCTGGTATCCAAGACTGGGAGAGAAAACGGAAAAAAAACAGGGTGAGCTGGTGGGAGCTGGTTGAATTGTCTTTATTAACAAACGGAAGATCCAAGGCCACTACATTGGGAGGGGGCGGGGCTACTTGCTGCTCACACTATATACAGAGGCAAGCAAGGGGGTGGGGGTGGGGGGACAGAGCTCCCTGTTCCCTCCCTCCACCAGGGAAGGTCCGAGGCTAGAAAGAACTGGGGCTGGAAAGGGGGAAATGTTTTGGCTGGCGGGGTCCCCCCTCCATTCCCTGGGGTTTGGGGAGAGGGGAATCATTAAAGTGCTTTCAGAAAATGAGGAAATGGTCCCTGCCCCTGGAGTGGCAGGCGACACCCCCCCCACACACCTAGGGCCCAGTGACCCCCCCCAGGGTCTGGTACATTCAAGGGGGGAGCCGGCTCCCCTGACGTGCAAATGAAGGGGCCCAGGGCCCTGCCCGGTCAGCAGGTCAGCAGCAGTGGGGTACGGGGTGCATGCCCCAGCACTCTCCTCAAGTGGAGAAAAGGGAGTGGGGCTCAGTCCACTTGGTTCCTGTAAGGGGAAGCTGTGCCTCTCCCCAGAACCAGGACAGGCACAGTTTTGGGGGGAGAAGTATTGTGGGGAGGGAAATAGGATGGTCACGTGATCACAAAAGCATCAGGGGTCAGAGGTCACGTTCCCAGCAGGCTCCAGTGAATCAATCCAGTCGAAAGCAAAAGCCCAGGGAGGGGAAAGGAGGGCGGCCTGGGGAGTCTGGCTGTGGGGTGAGCTGGCTCTGTCACCAGTTCATGATGCAGTTTCGGTTCAGCGTCATGAAGTAAACTTGGCTGCTGCCCCCAGAGCGGACTGAGGCGAAAAACACCTGGGCGGGGAGGAGAAGGGATTGGGGAGGGAGTCTCAGTTAACTGGAGAGAGAGAAGCTCCAGGATTTAGTCTCTTAGGGCACCCCCCACCCTGGAGGCAGAGGTAAGGGGAGAGGGCAGCTGGCAGACGCTACATGAAGGAGTCAGAAACTGCAGGTGACAAAAGGCAGGCAGGGACCCCAGGACCCCTTCCCAGGAAGACCCCATGGCCATCCCCTCTGCCAGGGGGCTGAGGGGCATAGGGGAAGGGGACCCCACCTTGTCATTCCGCTCACACAGGAACTTGAGCCTCTGGGCTCGTTTGTGCATGAAGACACCGTCCAGGTGGCCTGTCTCTACCGAGCGGATCTCAATGGCTTTCTCACCCCAGCCCATGATCTGGTTGGAGCAGATGTAGGCTGGGGGGGAAGGGGAGGAGGGGCTGTGAGTGGGGGCCAGGCAGGTAGCTGGGGGCAGGGGGCGCTCCAGGTGGGCCCCTCACTTACCCACAGAAGTGGGCATCTCTCCCCACTGCAGCACCACGTCCTTAATGATCCGCCCATATGTGTTGACGTAGACGCCTTCGTCCTCATAGCACAGCAGCATCTCCATGCCGTCAGTGTTGGGGAGGAAGATGATGGCATGGGGCGTGATCTGGCTCTGGATCTGGGGATGAGAGGATGGACTGCAGGCAGTGCACCCTGAGCCGGGGCTTGTGGCTGTGCTCTACCCAAAGCCCTGCCGAGCTTACGTGCACAGGGATGTAGATGTCATAGCTGTTCCCCGAGTCCACGTCCACAGCATGGAAGCCGGCACTGGAGCCATAGATGACCTTGAGCCGCTGACCCTCCTCCACAGTCAGGTCAACCAGCAGAGGGCGGTGAGGGAGATCTGCAAAGGACTGAGGAGGGGAGGGGACTCAGGGGGGATGGCCAGGGTAGGAGGGGGTGCAGAGGGGAGAAGGGGCTCAGGGGGCATGTCTAGGGCAGTGGGGGGTATGGGGGCAGAGGGGGGCCCCTGAGGCTACCTTGAAGGCCATGAACTTGTGGTAGGGTTTGGGGGCCCAGGCGTACACCTCCACGGAGCTCTTTAGCGCGATGACCAGGAACTTAATGCGCTCGTACTTCACTGGGGAGGCAGGCAAGCAAGGAGAGGGGTGTCATCCAGGAAGCCCAGGCCCCGATCCCTCTTCTCGGAAACATGCCCCTGGCACCCCACGGTGCCCTCCTCACCCACGCGGTAGTGCCCGCAGCCCTCCATGTCGCCCACAGTGGTCCAGCCCTGCTTCTTCTCCACGTCTGGGTCATTGTGCAGAATCTTGTTCCGGAGCCAGGACAGGTAGTACACCCGCAGTTTATTCCTTTTCCCTGAGGAGGACATGTGGCCCCTCACCAGAGGTCAGCGGGGCAGAGTGGGGCGGGGCGGGGTGCACCCCACAGGGGTTGGGGACACGAGGCCACCCTCTTGGCCCTCCTCCCAGGCTACAGGCGGCGGACTGAGCATCTGGGGTCCCCAGCCTGCGCCCCGCGCACCTGAGATGGTGATGAGCAAGTTGAGCCCTTCTAGGACATCCATTTGCTGGAAGCGCCGCCGCCCGATGAGCCCGTACACCTTGCCCTGCCCACTCCGGTCCAGTAGCATCAGGCCATTTTCTGTGCCCACCAGCAGGTTGACACCTGCAGCGGGAGCCCCTGGGCGGGTCACTGGCGGCCAGCCCTCGCCCGACTGGGGGCCCAGGGGCACCAGCAGACCCTGCTCTCCCTCCCTGACCCTGGCTCACCCCAAAGAGCTGCACAGAGGATCTCTGAATTGAACCGCTTCTTGTACTTGCGAATCTCGGGGGTCTCGCTGTGGGCACGGGTGTTGGTGGGGTTCACGTTGACCACGGAGCCTTTACGCACGTCGTACTGGAGCTGATCCAGCCGGCCGCCCTCTCCCCCCACCAAGGCTGCCAGAAAGAGGAGAGGGAGAGGGGGAGGAGGGCTGCAGCCCCCCCTCCCCTCACCCCTGCACCGGGCAGGGGGTGAGGGGGTGGGGGTGGGTGGGCGGGCCTCCTCTTAATCCTCAGGGGGACAGGGGAAAGGTGGAGAAAGGAGAAGAAGATGCAGGGGGCATGGAAATGGGGCGCAAGGCCTGGCAAAATCCTCCTGTCACTCAAGGGCCTCAGGGCCGGTCTCAGGCCCAAGAAGAGGCCGCGACCCCTGGTAAGGCTGTGTCCCAGAGACCCCCTGTGCCCTTCCCCAGGCCCCATGGCACCCTGTCCTCCTGTCCTCACCTGTGATGGGGATGGTATCCCCACTGCCTCCAGGCTGGTAGATCCCTAAGTCCACAAACATCGTGAATGAGCTCTTGCCAGGGGCCTTTACCAGCCCACGAGACTGGTACTGTGGGGGTGGGGCAGCAGTCAGGCAAACCCCGAGACCCAGCTGCGGGCCGCCCACTCCTCCCCAAACCCTGGCCACCTCGACCCTGCTGTGCGTCCCCAGCACCCCTGCCCGCTGCCCCACACATCAGGGTCTGCACTGTCCACTTACATCACTACCTCCATCCTTCGAGGGGGGGCTTTGACCTTTGCTGCTCTCGGTGGGCGAGTGGCTGGGCTGGACAACATCTGGCAGGTTTGTGTAGCCATTGCTGTCTGCGTGCAGCAGGCTGCGCTCCTCTTCAGGAGTCTAAGGGAACAGAGAGAGAGGAGCCGGTGCCGGGCAAGGAGGGGGCACAGCAGGTGCTTGGAAGAAGGTGGGGGCACTCACGCGCTGGACTACCATGGTGCCACCCCCATAGGGGGTCTGGGTCCCAGCTATCTCTTCCACGTCGTGGACCACCATGGTGCTGACGCTGTCCGTGTCCCCATCGCTGCCACGGGAGAGGGGGTGGCTGTCAGTCTCAAGCCCTGCTTGTCAGCCCTTGGCAGACACAGGGAGGACCAGTGCTCTCCCCTCCACTTGGCACAGGCCCCTCTAGCTGACAAGGCCGTGGGAGACAGATGGGGCCACCAACCCAGACCCCCTTCTCTAAAGAAGGGGAAGGGAAACCGACCAACAGCAATAGCCAGGGACCCCAGCCTAGGAGAGGGGGAGCCCTGCCCATCCCCAGGTGCCCCCATACCGGGCCCCAGGGGGGTCTCTGCTCCCCTCTGAGGGCTCGCCATTGCTTTCGTCCTCATCTTCACTGCTCTCCACCTCCTCACTGGAGGACGAGTAGTCCATGGCCTTCTTGGGTGGCCGTGGGGCATCGTCCAGGGCTCGCTCCTTCAACAGCACAAAATCCTGTGGGGAGGGGGTAGGGAGGGAGGCATGAGAAAGGGGGAAGGGAAGGAGGAGCAAGTATGATGGGTGCCAGAGGAGAAAGGGCAAGCGACAGGGGACTCCCAGGCAGGCCTTCTCACTGACCTCACCGATGGCACGCTTATAGCTCTGGGAGGGGCCGCAGGGGTGGAAGGGCAGCCAAGAGAAGCAGGAGAGAGGTGAAGAAAGGTCAGTAGCCCAAAAGTGCAGCCTGCAACCCCTTCGCACAAGGATGGAGGGGGCCCTCCCAGCACCGCCCTGGGCTCCTGGGGGCTCTGAGGCCCCAAGCCCCCACCCAGGGGCAGGCAGGGCCAAAGCTGCTACCGATGACTTACTGCAGGCCGGCCTGGCCGTGAGCGGTGGTCATCAGGCTTGGCTTTGTTCCCAGGGGAGAGCACTGGGGAGCTATCCAGTTTGGAGGAGGCTGGATCGGGGAGGGTGGGAGAAGGGCGGTCATTGAGTCCCAGTCACCACTGTGAGCCCTAGCCAGCTGCCCCCAGGGAAGGGTCCATCGACTGAGATAGGGCTGGAGACCAGCTGAGCAGGCTGTGGCATACCTCCTACACGGTTCCGCTCCAGCGAGCCAGCCTGGGGCAGGTGCCCGTGAGCGGGGAGGGCACCTTCCGGCCGCTCCCAGCTGGGGTCGCTCCTCCTGAGGTCGGGGTTGCTGCAGGAGAGCAGAGGCAGGTCAGAACAGGGGCTCCTGTCGGGGCCTGAGCCGCACTGCAGAGGGGGACACCACCAGGGGCAGCAGGTGGCAGGAGTGAGGGTGGGCGTGAGTGGGGGGCAACTCCATTACCTACAGGCGTTGGGCGGGCCAGGGGGCTGAGCGGGGGGCCCTGGAGACTTGGGGGTGCCCCGCTCTGCCCGCCTTTGCAGATAGATTTGCCAGGCGGAGTTGCTGCGAGGTCTGTGGAGGGAGCACAGGGGTGCCGGGGGGGCGGGGCAGGGGGCACTGAGGTGATGGGCGTGGGGCTGGCCCACCCCTAAGCGGGTATACCTGGCGACCTCCCCTGTGCACCCCCGCTCCCCACCCCAGGGCCACCATGCAGCTCCATCCGGGCGCTACCTGGCGCGGACAGCCTGAGTGGGCCGGGCCCCTCCGGCCCCACTGGTGTTGAGCGCGGCAGCAATGGAGGAGGTCCTCTGAGGCACCTGTGGGGGGAGGAGGGGTCAGCACTGCCCCCCCCCCCCCCCCCCGGGCACTCCTCACATGTGCGCATCCTGGCCTCCACCCTGGCAAGTATTTTCCTGGCTCTCTCAGACAAGCAGAATGAAGTTAGGGAAGCTCACGAGTTTTCCAGAGTCATGAAGCTGGGATGCCAACCCAACAAGTCTGGGGCTTCCAACACCTGGCCGCATCTGCTCCCTCCCTTGCCCCCAACAGCAGGGACAAGGTCCCAGGGCAGGCAGCCCACCCTCCCGCCCTCCCACCAGAGTGGAAGCAGAACAGGGCCCAGGGCAGAACAGGGCCTCCCCCCCCATCTCCACCTTTTCCTACCCACTTCTCACCTCTCTCCTGGTTCTGCACAGGGCCCTTACCTTGGGGGGGGCCTCAGTATCCGGTCGGACCCAGGCTGGGGGGTTTGGGCCGGGGCCAGGCCCTTCAGAGGTGGGATCTGAATTCTGGCGGATGACGGCTCCTCGGGCGCTGGGCGTGGTGGTGGGCGTGGGGACAGCCGGGTCAGGCTCATGGGAGGCTGGGAAGGCAGCCAGGTTTCGGGTGGGCTGGTCCTGCAGGGACTGGGATCGGGGTACAGGCGCTGCATATGGCTTCAGTGGGACCCGGTGTGCCACCAGGCTCTGCAGGGAAAGACCAGGGAGGGTGGGCTGCCTGCTTTGTGGCACATCCCCACCCGGGAGCGGGGGCCTGGCTGGGAGGAAGGGGCAAGGGAGGCCTCTGGCTTCCAACTGTCCATCAGGAAGGGGCTCTGGCAGCCTGAGTACAGGTGAGACCTCACCAGACGCATGCAGTGGCCTGCAGGTGCTATCTGCCCCCGTAACCCGAGATCCACGATTCCCGGTTGAGGGATGCACGTGTGTGCGTATACACAGCCAACAGCCATGCTGCAGCCATGCAGAGAGAAGCTCCCGCGTCAGTGTGTTAACATGGGAACGGGGAGAGGCTCACCTTGTGTGGTCCCTCCTGGGGCTCCACCGGCCTCTGCATAGGCGGAGTTTGGGAAAGGGGGCCCGGAGGCCCGGGGGCGGCCTGGGGAAGGGGGGGCTCAGGCCCTGTGCTGCTTGGCTTGGTCTTGGCCAAGGGGGAGTTCTGCTGCTTGTTCATCCTCGTCCTCTCCTCAACCTGTGGCATGACAGGGTGCCCAATAGGCCAGCTGTGCTTCCCCATGCTCAGAGCACGCCTCCCCCATCCTGCACGCTCTGCCCATGGCCCATGCCAGGTTCCCCCTTCCCGGGTCTGCCAGGGCTCCATGCCCCCCCATCCTGCACGCTCTGCCCTCAGGCCCATGGCCCATGGCCCATGCCAGGTTCCCCCTTCCTGGTCCTGGTCCTGAGAGGAAGGGAGGAGCCAGGGAGGAGCCAGCCTACCTCTCGTGCCCAGGCAGGCTTGTCAGCAGGACTGCTGCCCCGGCCGTAGTGGTATAGCGGCTTCCTATCGGTGGGCAAGCCCGGCTGCTGCTGCTTCTGCTGCTGCTGCTGCTGCTGCTGCTGCTGCAGGGACTTGAGGTAGGCGTGCTCCTGCTGCAGCTGCCTCTGGAGCCGCTCAGACTGCCGCTGCTCCTCCAGCTGCTTCCGCTTGTACTCCTGGGCCCAAGGGTAGGGAGAGCGGGCTCAGCGGAGCCCAGAGCCGGAGCAGGAGGGCCCTCTGTCCAGCTGCCCGTGGCATAGGGCTCTGCCCCAGACGCCTGGCCGGACCCCCTTCCCACTCCAGCACAGAGGCTCGGAATCCGCTTCTTCCCAGAGGAGGTCGGGGACCCCGTTACCAGCAGCAGGGCCTGTTCCTGGAGCAGCTGTTGCTGGAGGATCTCGAGCTGCCGCTGCTCCTCCTCTAGCCTGTGACGAATATACTCCTGGGGGGCAGGGGGGGCAGAGGGCAGGGGGAAAGGCGGGCAGGGGGGGGATGCGGCGGCGTGGGCAGGACAGGAGCAGTTGGGAGAGGATGAAGAGGAGAGCGGGGAGAATCAGAGAGGACAGGTGGGGTGGGATGAGCCCCCAGAGGGCAAGTGATGAGGAGGGGGCCCAGGTGTAGGGCCCGAGAGGGAAGGGGCGGGCAGAGGAGTCAAGGCCAGGCAGAGAGATGGGGAATGAAGGCACAGAGACAGGAGGGTAGGAGCCAGGGTGGGGGTGAGGGTGGGGAAAAAACAGAGAGAGAGTGAAGCTGGAAAGATAGGAGGAATCTCGGGGAAGGGAAGACAGGGAAGGGCGTGGGGTGCAGGAGAGGCAGGCGGCAGGAGCAGAGGGGAGGCGGGCTGGGAAGGGGTGAGCCCGGTGAGCGCTGGGGGCGCTGTACCTGCTCCCGCTCGGCCTGCCGCCTCTCCTCCTCCCGCCGCAGGGCCTGCCGGTCCTCCAGGCGCTGCTGCTCCTTCTCCTGCAGCTTCCGCTGCTCCCGCTCCCGCCGCTGTTGCTGTGGGGGAGAAGACAGCTCCCTCTCAGCGCCAACGCCAGCACAGCCGGCCTCTGGCACCCGCGGTGAGGGGAGCCCTACTGGACGGCGGGGGCGGCCCCTCCCACCACAGCGGCTCTCCCCGACCCGCGGCAGCTGTGCACGGGACCCCCGCCTGGGGCCCCTGCTGCCCCTGGGGGGCCACCTCGGCGCCTCCCAACCGTGAGCTCCTCCACCAAGCAAGCGACCCAGGCCGCCACCGGGCGCGCCGCGGGCCGCAGGGACGCCATCCGGCCACAAGAGGGCAGCAGGCCCCCGCACAGAAGCCATCCAGGCCGGGCCTGGCCAGAGTGTGCCCGACCGAGAGGGGAAGAGAGGGGTGAAGGGCAAGAGGGACAGGGGGCTGGCTCACGGAGCCCTGCCTGTCCCCGCGAGGAGGGCCGGGCAGGCCTGCTCCCCGGGACACGGTGGCACATGGCCTCTGTGCCTGGCTCTTGGGCAGGGCAGCCTCGGCTCTGCAGGGAGTACGGGGCTGCCTGGACGGGCAGCACACCGGGATCTCCAGTGCCTGAGCCAATTTTCTTTTCCTTTTTAAGATTTTATTCACTCATGAGAGACACAGAGAGAGGCGGAGACACAGGCAGAGGGAGAAGCAGACTCCTTGGAAGGAGTCCGACGGGGGACTCCATCATCATGCCCTGAGCTGAAGGCAGATGCTCAACTGCTGAGCCACTCAGGCATCCCTGAGCGATTTGAAGTCTGGCTCTCCTTGAACTTTGAAATCATGTCATTGTTTCAACAAAAGCCCCAACATTTAAGGCCATTTTCATACCCTCTCCTCCCTCACCATGTCCCTCCTGAGGAACAAATGCATCTCAGTACCTATGGATACAGATGCATGCTTTCTACAGTGGTGATTTAGTTAACAACCCTGGTATTTAAAAGATTCTCTATTATTTGAAAGGTACTTCTCCCACCCACCTCTAATTGGGCCAGGGACCAGACTATTTTCCAGCTAATCTAAGCCCAAGCCACTGGAAATAAAAGCAGGATCTTTAGAAGGAGCTTCCCAATGGGACCAGACCGCTGCTGGGGGCAAAAGCATGGGCTCTGGAGTGTGTGCGGAGCCCTAGCTCCCTGACCCCTGAGGTAACTGCCTACAGGACAGACAGGAGTGGGGGGCTCCGTGCAGGGCAGGGACCATCCTCTATGTGGGGAAGGCGGCCCCTGTGTGGAGGGCTGACACCACCCACACAGGGTTGGCCAGAGGGCTGAGAGGCTGGGGAGCCTGCGCATGCTCCCTCTGTTTGGGCAGCCAAGGGAACCAATGACAGGGCCAGGACAGGGTGGTGGAAGGGCGAGTGGCCCAGGCCCCCCCAGGGCAACCCCACCTCCTCCACACGCCGCCGCTCCTCCTTCTGCTCCTCGATGCGGCGCTGGCGCTGGTGCAGGAGATGCTTGATGTGTGCCTCAGGGTCTCGTTGCTGCTGCTGCTGCAGCTGCTGCTGCTGCTTCAAAGCCTCAGAGTTGCTCTTGTTCTCCTGCTGCAGCCGCAGGAACTCCCGGCGCAGTGTGGATTCCCCCGGCACGTTCATGATAGAGCTGTGCCCAGTGGGCAGCACAACGCAGGGCAGGTCAAGGCCTGGTCCACCCCTGCAGGTCTGCCCCACCACCACCACCGGGCACTCGGGGGTGGTTCTGCACAGCCCTGTGCCCACCACCCAGCCCCAGGGCCCACCTGGGCTCGCCCTCCTCTCCATGGCTGTCATCCTCCTCCTCACTGCCGCTGTACTCGTACTCCGTCTCCTCTGTAGGGGGAGGTCACTGCTGTTCCTTCCCCAGTGCCCCAGAGCCCACCCGGGCTAGGGAAGCTTCCACGTGGATAACCCACCCAGCCTGGCCCCTCCACCCTTGGAACATGGGCTGAGACAGCCAGGGGCCAGACCCCACAGCAGGCAAGGCATGGCAGACCACGCACAAGCACTACGCCGGGCCCCCGGCTCACCATGGAGCTTGTCAGGAGGGAAGGGGGGGACCTTCACTGGACAGGCTGCCTGGGATGGTGGGGGCGTGGAGGGGAAGCAGCCCCAGAGCCAAGGCAGGTGGGGGGTGGGGGAAGGAGCCGGGCAGAGGTACCACCTCAGAGCCCTGCCACCTTGCTCTGGCTCCTGCTTCTGCTCCGCACCAACCTTTCTCGCCTCGCTTCTTGCGGGAGCGGTCAATGTGGTCCTTGAGCTGGATGCGGACCTGCCGCTCTGTGGGCTGGTCCCTGATGAAGGGGAACTTGAGCAGCTGCTCTGTGGGTGGGCGGCTCAAGTAGGTCTTGATAAGACACGTGTCAATGAAGTCAGTGAACTTCTTAGACCTGGAAGTGAAGGGGGCTCACGCTGGGAGGGTCCGGGGGGGGGGGGGGGGGCGGGGTCACAGGCGCGAGACGGGGATCACCCATCTGAGAGCCATCTCCACATCCCACCACCGGCCAGCCCCTACCCCTCGGTGGCACAGACCGTTGGACACAGGGGTTAAGGCGGGAGGCCTGGTCCGAAGACCTTCCTTTCTAGACATGAAACCCCCAGAGACCTACCATTTCTTGGACTTGAGTCTGGGGGGTGGGTTCCGTGGGATGAGGAAGAGGGCTCGCATGGGGTGCATGTCACACAGAGCTGGCACACGGGAGGGACACCATGAGTCCCTCTCGCAGCCACAGAGTCTGAAGGAGCCCTGCCCACTGTGACCTCCCCAGACCCACACCCGCCCCCCACAGCCCCTCTGGGGCTCCCTCCATGCCCAGACTCCTCACTTACGGGGGGCCCCCTCTGCCATCTCGATGGCTGTGATTCCTAGAGACCAAATGTCACTCTGCAGAGGGGGGGGGGGAAGGAGGGACAGGGGCATGTTCCTGACAGCCCTCCTCACCCCACCCCCTGGGCTTCTTCAGGGATGCCCCCCCACCCCACCCCACTCCATCCCTCACTCCATACCCTGTAGTCATAGGTGGCATCAGGGTTCTCATCACAGGCGATGACCTCTGGGGCCATCCAGTAGGGGGTCCCGATGAAAGTGTTCCGCCTGCCCACGGTGCGGTCCAGCTGAGCACTCACCCCAAAGTCCACTGGGAAGACAGAGGGAGGGGTCCTAACAGAGGGCCGCATCTGTTCTGTTCTGGCCCCCACCTGCATGTGCCCCAAGGGCAGCACCCAGACTTTCCCTGGCACCCCTTCCACGCCATCAGCATCCCGAAGAGCCTCACCTAATCTCCCTGTGTCTTGGGGGAAAACCAATGGGCGAGGGCCAAGGGGACAGGCAGGAGGGGCCAAAACGTCCCACCTCCCCAGAGGTATCTGGGTCATGCAGGGAGCAAAGGAAACTTCTGGAGTGATTTCCAGCAAGGGGCAAGGCCTCTCAGGGCAGGAGCAAGACTCCCAGCCTCCAGGCAGGTGACATGAGCCAGCAGGGGGAATGAGGGGCCTCACACTCAGTCCTGGAGGTCAGAGGCCCCACGTGCGTACCTAGCTTGACCTCCGCGTTCTCTGTCAGCAGCACGTTCTGCCCTTTGATGTCTCGATGGATCACCTTGTGGGCATGGAGATGGGCCAGACCCTGGGGCAGGAGGGCACGGGAGTGTGTGGACATGAGCCACGAAGAGGGGCCGACCAGGCTGGGCCGAAGAGGCGGCCCCTCCCCATCCAGGAGCCCAGGCACAGGCTGCATCCAAGGGGACTGTCCTGAGAGCAGCAGTCCCTGGAGGTCTCCTTGTGCCGGCAGGGCAGCTGTGAGGCAGCGGAGGCGCCATGATGGTTCTCCAGAGCTGGGACTCCGTGTCTACCCTACCCGCCCAGCGCCGCTGATGCCTGCGAAGATATGGCTGCGGCCTCCCTCCCGCGGGCAGGCCTGGCCTGGAGCAGGGGGAGGTGGGCGCTCACCCGGAGAATCTCCCTGCAAATGTAGGCGATACAGTCCTCCTTCAGGGCATTCCCCTTTGTGTTCTTCACTAGGTCTGTCACGGAGCCAGCCCCACAGAACTCCATCACCAGCTACGGCACCAGGGAAAGAAAGGGGAGCATCCATCAGGCAAGGCCTTCCGCCCCTGCCAGCCACCGCCCCCCCGTAGGAGGGCACAAATGGTGTGCAGACCAGGGGACGCTCCTTGTGGAAGCCAAGGAGCTCCCTGAGCCAGGGAGAGGAGGCCATGCAGCGGCAACAGGGCAGGCAGGGCTGACGGATCCCAAGAAGGCGCCCTGGGAACCCTGGAAACTGTAGCCAGAATGATGGGCATGCACGCATTTCCTTCGGGGGGGGGGGCATGCTTTTGTCAGGTCCCCCTGGGCACCCTTCACCCTGAAACAAGAACTGCCGCCCTGGAGTGTGGGTTGGCAAACTTTGGCCAGGGAACTAATAAATGTGTTTTTTACATTTTTAAATGGTTGAAAAAAATCAAAATATGGATCATAAAAATTTCAAGTCTCAGAGTCCTAAACAAAGGCTTCTGGGGACATAGTGACATTCCTATCCCCGTTCATGTATGCAGGGCCTATGGCTGCTCTCATGGCTCAGCAGCCAGGGTGAGGAGCTGTGGCAGAGACTATAGGGTCTACAGACCCCCGACACCTACCACCAGGCCCTTCACAGCAAAGAAGTTGGCAAAGGCCTAGCCCAGAGGCAAGAAAGAGGCTAAGAACCGGCAACTCTCCAGGCCTGCTGTAGGAAAAGCAGCGTGCCTGGCCAGGGGGCTACAGGAGGGAACCTGTGGAGATCCCAGTGGGACCTGCGGAGGCTGTGGCCACGTCAGCGCCCCGGGGATTGGGAGGCCCGTCCAGGTGTTTCACTGCACAAAAGCCACATCTGATGCAGAAAAAGGCTGGAGGGGATGTGTGTACATTCAACAAGTGATATGGGGAGACTGCCTGTTGTGCATCTATGCCCAGGGCTCTCCCTCCAACAAGCCCAGGAGAGGGGGTGGAGGGAAGGACAGGTGCCCAGTGGAGCAGCTAGCCTCTGGTCCCTGTGATCGCCCACTCGCACACAGCTGGCAGGTAGACCCCAGTGGAGTGTTGCCCCCTTGCTTTGGGTATAGTGTGTGTGAATGCCTTGGAAGCAGGGTACACAGAAGGCACTCAGTAAGTACCTGTCTGGCAACTGGTAGGAGGGAAGTCCTAGAATGAGCCCCAAGCCCACCACCACGGCCACCACGCACCCTAAGCTCTCTTCCTGGGGGCTGGGGGCTGGGCTGTGTAGCAGAAGGGGCGAGGCTGGGAACGAGCCCAGGCCTGGGAGGGCAAGGTCTCTCAGGAATGTTCTGGGCCAGGAGAGAATCTGGGGGAGGCCCAAAGGAGCCACAGTGAGTTTGGGTTAGATGGATTATCTGGAAGGGTGTGCACTCCACCAGGAGCCTCCGAGCCCTGCCACCACCATGCACAGGTATTTGGGGACATGGCTCCCCCGCGGTCGTGCGTGAAGGCAGGACCAAGGGGCTCACTACCTTTCCCAGCACGTGCGAGGGTTATGCTGTCACTCACTGTGTGTCACGCACGGTGTAAGCTCCTGGTCAGGACAGAGGCGTGGGCAAAGCCCAGGCCACCCAAACAGAGGCCACAGCATGTGGGCACTCCACGTGAGTCAGGAGACGCTGTGCATCCAGAGGCAGGGGACTTGTGAGGGAGCCTGGACACAGGGAAGTGGGGACCACTCACCCAGAGCTGGTCATCATTCCCAGGGGGGCTCTTCTTTATGAAGGCCCCATAGTAGGTGGCGATGTTACGGTGGTGAGAATATTTCTTCAACATGTTGATCTCCTGTTTGATCTCTTCCTCCTCATCCTGGGGGCATGGGAGGGGTGAGCCCAAGAGCCCCCAGCCCTCCTCAGGGCCCTGCCCTGCCCTCTGCCCTCATTGCTCCCTACCTCCGTGACATCCATGACCTTGATGGCAGCCAGCTGCCCAGTCTTGACATGCCGACCCTGCAGGACAGAGAGCCAGGTGTGGAGGGTCTGAGTCCACAACCAGGGATGGCTTGATTCTGAGGCAGGACACACCTTCTGGCTCTTCTCTGTCTTAGAAAGTGTCCCTGTGGCGACTGGACACTTCACTTATGGGTCAGGCACAGGGACGGGCACAGGCTTCCAAGAACAACTATAGAGCCTGGAGTCCAAGTGCTAAGCTGAATAAAGATGAAGGGTTTCTGGGATGCCTGGGTGGCTCAGTAGTTGAGCATCTGCCTTCAGCTCAGGGCGTGACCCCAGGGTCCTGGGATAGAGTCCTGCCTTGGGTTCCCCGCAGGGAGCCTGCTTCTCTCTCTGCTTGTATCTTTGTCTCTCATGAATAAAAAAACAAAATACTAAAAAAAAAAAAAAAAAAAAAAAAAAAAAGACGAAGGGTCTCCTCCCCTAAAACACCTTAGGGACACACGGCAGAGTCACTTTTGTTCTGGACTTCCCACAGTTTGGAAGCTGAGAAGGAAGTGAAGGAGATCCCTCCCCACTGGAGGGAGCTGGGAGCAGCTGGAGGAGGGGCTCTGCCTCTCTGGCACCTTCTATGCCAGACAAACTGCCTCCTGCATTCCGGCCCGGCCTGCCCCAGTCAGGAAGCCTTTTCCAGAACTGTCCCCCTCCAAGGCTTTCTTTTTTTTTTTTTTTTTTTTTTTAAATTTATTTATGATAGGCACACAGTGAGAGAGAGAGAGAGGCAGAGACACAGGCAGAGGGAGAAGCAGGCTCCATGCACCGGGAGCCCGACGTGGGACTCGATCCGGGGTCTCCAGGATCGCGCCCCGGGCCAAAGGCAGGCGCTAAACCGCTGCGCCACCCAGGGATCCCCCTCCAAGGCTTTCTATTATCATTGGCAGGACAGAATAAAGATAGAGTTGGTATTTTAGGGACCTCCGGGAAACACAGAAGGCTGACTGGCCTGGCAATGCCCCATCCCCCGTGCTAACGGGAAGTTAACTTCTAGGGTACGTCCCTGCCATCCCTCGTCCACCCCCTATCCTTCTGACATTCCTCCAGGAACCATCCCAGCCCTGGTCAAGGAAGTCCAGGCTTCCTGGGGGAGAGCAGAAGGGGAGCAGAGATCCCGAATCATTATCCTCAGCAGTCACTTGAGACCCCAAGCCCAGAGAAGCAGGAGAACAGAGCTACTATTTCCATGGCAACGACCAGGCTGGTGATGGGTGAATGGGGGAGGGGATGCCTGTCCCCCAGAGCTTACATGGGGGTCCCAGTGACCCAGGAAGCAGCCCCTGAGATTGCAGAGACTTATGGAAAACCTTAGCATCAAGTTGGGAGACCAAGAGGGCAGGTGTGCCCTGGGGCCCTCCAGCTCTGGGGCAGCATGTACTTGGAACATCTCTCTGCCCCCTCTCTGCCCAGCTGCCTCCCTCTCCAAGTGTGACCTGTGGTCGGGCTGGGCTGGCCAGGGTACAGCGACAAGCATTGGGGAAGTGCTCCTGTGGGGAGGAGAGGGGTAGCCCCCAGAGCAAGGCCTGCTGGAGGCCAGCAGTGGGAGTTCTAGAAAACCACTTCCCCTCTGCAAGAGGTCCTGGGACTCCACCAACCTGAGGCTGGGTCTCACTGTGGTCTTGGAAGGAGCCAAAGCTGAACCGGGGCCTGAGCTCTGCTCTGAACTCTCAGGTGAGCCCGACACATGCATGTAAACATGCACACACACACACACACACACACACACACACACACACACACCACAACACCGCCCCCTGCGCTCCTCCCCACACCCACCAGGCCCCAGGCCTACACCTGCTGCACTCAGGACTCATTGAGACTTAGCACACAGGCCAGCAAGAACACCCCACTTCTTGGGCCTCCTTCTTGCATTGCTTTTACCCTCCCTCCCCCTCTCCCAGCACCCCTCAAAGTCCCCAGACCTAGGGCCCACTCCAGCCACCCATGTCCCATGTCCTAAGGGGCCCCAGGGAGGAGCGCCACGCTCCTGCACCATTAGCGCCTCACCTTGTACACCTGTCCGTAAGTTCCATTGCCGACCACTTCCACCAGCTCGAAGATTCCAGCAGGGTCCTGCGGGGAGGGAAGGGGCAGGAGGGAGAAAGAACAAGGTGTCAGGGCTGGAGAACAGGACAATGTGACCAGGGAGTGGAGAGAGGGATGCAGTCAGATGAGTGAGCACAGGCGTATCACAAGGGGGCTGCGGGGAACCAGACGGCCAGCTGTGCTTCTGGAGAAGTCAGAAGAAGGGGAAGAGATGACAGCGGCCAGAGCCTAGCTGGCCTTCCACACGTGCCCCTGATCCCATATGCCGAACCCTGAACGGCTACACCCTCATCTGCAAAATGGGGGTGTCCAGTGCATGCCTCTGGAGCTGGGGTCAACTGTAAATGACGCGATAGCCATAATGAGCTCCAGGCGGTGCCTGGCATAGAGAGTGTGTAATAAAAGGTAATCATCACTGTGATGGTTTTTTAAAAGCAGGGGTGAGGAAAGCTAGCAGGTCAGAAATCCAGAAGCGCCCTCCACCTGGCCCTTTCCTGCTTCTTCCCCAATCCTCCTGAGACCCAGGGCAGGAGAGCAGGGGACAGAGAGAGGGCCTCTGGGGGTGGGGGTGGAGCCCTTGTAAGTGCCTGCTCTCTGGAGCCAGGAGGTGCCAGGAAGAGACTCGAAGGAGCAGACAAAGCCTCCACAGAGGCTCACTGCCTGCTGGACCGAGGGCAGGGCAGCAGGTGCAGCTGCAGGGAGGCCACCCACACTCTCTGGGCAGGCCTTCCTTCAGCCACCTGCAGGCTGGACATGTGGGACCCATAGTTAGGACGTCACCAAAAACAATTCTGGGCCAATCATCTGAGAAGTACCTAAACTGAAACTCCTTTCTCCCTGGTTCTGAAAACCAGGATAGAATTTCTGGAAAACAGAAGAACCCTTCTCCACTCCTCGGTCACCACCAGCGAAGGGAAGCTGCTGTGAACAAGTTGGATGGCGGGGAGACAGTGGCGAGGCCTCTGAAGATGGTATCTATGCCCACTTCTCAGCAAGGGCAATGAAGGCCGGACCACGCCCTGCTCCCTGCACAGCCCCCTGGGCACATGTTACTGCGCACCCCAACTGGGCACTTGGGTGGGTGTCAGCTCCCGGAGGGACAGGGCGAGCCTCCTGGTGCTGGGCTTGCTCACTCAGTTCCGGCTAAGGCTGCCCCCAAACCGAAACATGATGACATAACCACCTTACCCGGGGCTGAGAACACAGCAGGCCCCAGGGGAAAGGGAGAAACTGTCACTGCAGGGGGACGGCACGACCAGGGGCCTGCACAGGCTCTCATCTGCACCCCCCTAGAAGGGCTCATCTGCTCGGGGGGGGGGCCTCTGAACTCAGTCTGTTGCGAAGTCCCTCCTTATATCTACTGAGCTTTCCCAGGGGGTCGGAGACAGAACGGGGACTCATGGCTGGGATCTCAGGACGTTTCTGCCCAAATGGGGAAGCAGGATGGACTGGAGAGGCCTAACCTCGCACGTGGGCGGGCCTAGTTCTGTGACCTCACACCCAATCGGATCAGGCCTCCTCCTCAGAGGCGAGGGGAGAGCCTCGAGGAGTGAGGAGTGCCTGGCAAAGCAGGCCTCAGGTCAGACTCCATTTCCGGGGCAGCTCTGTGGTGGTGCCAAGCCTGTTTCCTGACCCACAAACCAGTGCCTCCGGGGAAGGGCCTCCAGGGAAGGGCGATGGGGGGGGACAAAGCCGCAAACCCTCGGGCAAACCTGTGACGGCATCGTGGGGCCCAGCCCCTGGCACAGAGCAGCTCCAGAGGACTCCCCACCCTGGGCCAATGCAGGACCTGCTCCCCACCTATCGCTACCCCTCCTCCCCTCCAAACATCCCCGTTCCTGCTGTCTTCCTCTAAATGCTGGGCAGCCCCTCCTCAGTCCTCACCCCTCCTCAGTCCTCACCGTTCTTCCTTCTCACTCCTCCTCGTTGTCCTCATCCCTCCTCAGTCCTCATCCCTCCTCATCCTCACCCCTCCTAGGTCCTCGCCCCTCCTCCGTCTGTGGCCCAGGTTCACCCTCCTGCCCTTTCTCCTGTGTACAAGCCGGCAGGGCCCTGTGGCTCTCAGAAGAGACCCAACACCTCAGTGTCTGGTATTCAAAGTTGCCTCATCATTAACCACCCAATAAATACTTTCTGAGTGAGTGTCTACACCCACCTAGGGCCAGCCTAGGCCCTAATCAGGGGAGATCTGTCAGGCAACTTTCTCTTCCTTCATTAACTGTTAAACATTTATTGAGCACCAGCTGGGTGACAACTCCCCAATTAGGCGCAAAGGGAGCTCAGTGACACATGAGAAACACGGAAGGTCCAGGATAGACCTTGAGACTTACAGGCCAAGTACCCCAATGAGGACAGGCAGCCGTCAAGGATTTTGTGCCAGAGTAGGCAAGCACCAGAAGGCTGCCCGGCAGAGCCTAGGGGGTCTTGGGCATCAGCTGTGTCCTGAGTGAACAGCTAACTGCCTGGGGCCTTTCTGGTGCACAGAGCGGGGGCTGCACTGGGTGAGGGGTCCATTGCACGGCTTCAGGGACAGAACTAAAGCCGGGCAGGGCACGTAAGGCCAGCTCCTGGAGAAGACAGTGCAGGATGGAGGGGCGCTCTGGAGGCTGCATCCGAGGTCAGCTGGCCACAGGAAAGCGAGAGCTTGTGTGTGTGTGTTGGGGGGGGGGGTGGCCGACAAGCTGGGTGGGGCCAGGCCGGGGACAACACTGTGGTCTGGTCACTGACTTTGCGATGTTGGGAGACATCAGGAGGTTAGAAACGAGAGTCTAGAGACAAAGACAGAGTGGACAACCAGGCTGAGCTATAGGGACGGATAAACAGAAGAGCCCAGTGCTCAACACTGGATGGCAGGACAGATGGGCACACAGGCCCGAGGAAAGCCCCTCCGGCCCCCAGCTTGGGGCAGCACTGGGAACCGATGTGGGAACCAGGGGCCAGTGCAGTTGGGGGCCAAGGGGCAGAAGGCCAGTGACTGGGTGGGCGGGGGGTGTACAGGCGAGGAGGAAGGGGAGCCTACGGGCACAGCACCCTGTGCCGAAGCCTGGCCAGGTGCAACGGGAAACAGATGACATGGCAGCAGGGTCGGACAAAGGGTTTTCAAAACGGGAAGCTCTCTCATGCCTGTGGAAGGGAAGAAGAGACGACAAGGACTGGGGAAGCTTGCCGGATAGATTTCTTGGCCTCAAGTATACACATGTGCATACGTCCCCCGTGGGGTTTCCAGCCGTGCTGCTGCTGCTACGGTCCCGGTTGGGTTTCTCCCCTACAGGCCTGAGCATTCACAGGGCCTGATTCAGGTGGGATTTGTGCACGGATCTGGCTTCACATGTCCGTGAGCTCAGCCATTCTCTTACCAGGGGTGTGCAGGCGCCTCTGGAGGCAGTCCTGGCTCCCCTGACCCACCCTGCATGCGGGCCCAGCTCCTTGATCATGCTGCAGAAGTGGTCTCCAACTCTTCCTCTGGGTGCTCAAACTCTGTTGTCAGCAGCTTGGTTCTTGTCCAGCCAGATGCTGGGAGGTGGGGAGGGCCAGGGACAAGGGTACAGATAACTAACAAGAGGAGGGAAAGAGGAAAGGAGGGGTTGAACATGAACACTGTTGGAATAAGTTAAAGACCCAAGTAAACAGAAAGATTTCCCATGTTCATGGATGGATCAGAAGGCTTAATACTGTTAAAAGCTACAGATTTGCACTTCTATCAAAATCCCAGCATTTTTACAAAAGTTAACAAGTTTATCCTAATGTCATATGGAAATGCAAGGGATCCCACAGAGACAGTCTTGAAAAAGAAGAACAAAGTTGGAGGATTCACACTTTCTGACGTCAAACTTACAACAAAGCTACAGTCATCAAGACAGATACAGCGTAATGACAGACACACAGATCAATGGACTAGAATTGAGAATCTAAAATTTAACTCTTTTTTTAAAATTTTTATTTATTTATGATAGTCACACACACACAGAGAGAGAGAGAGAGAGAGAGAGAGAGAGAGAGAGGAAGAGACATAGGCAGAGGGAGAAGCAGGCTCCATGCACCAGGAGCCCGATGTGGGATTCGATCCTGGGTCTCCAGAATTGCGCCCTGGGCCAAAGGCAGGCGCCAAACCGCTGCGCCACCCAGGGATCCCTAAAATTTAACTCTTAAACTTGTGGTCAAGTGATTTTCAACAAGACTATCAAGGCACTCAATAGTCTTTTCTTCTTTATTTTTTTAAGACTATTTATTTGAAAGAGAGAGAGAGAGAAGAGAGAACATGAGCAGGGTGAGAAACACACTACCTGCCAAGCAGGGAGTCCCATGTGGGGCTCAATCCCAGGACCCTGAGATCATGACCTGAGCCCAAGGCAGACACTTCACTAACTGAGCCACCAACATGCGCTGCAATAGTCTTCAAAAAATGGTGCTGGGACAACTTGAGCATCCACATGCAAAAGAATGAAGCTGGATTCCTACCTGATACCATAAAAGTTTTAACTTAAAATGAATCACAGACCTAAAAATGTAAGCTCTAAAATGATAGAAATATTTTTTCTCCTGCCCCCTAAAGCCATGGAAATCTTAAAACACAGGAGTAAATCTTCACTACCTTGGATCAGGCAATGGTTCCTTCCTTCCTTTCTTTCTTTCTTTCTTTCTTTCTTTCTTTCTTTCTTTCTTTCTTTCTCTTTCTTTCTTTTCTTTCTTTCTTTCTTTCTTTCTTTCAAGATTTTACCCATTTATTCATGACAGACACAGAGAGTGACAGAGAGAGAGAAGCAGAGACACAGGCAGAGGGAGAAGCAGGCTCCATGCAGGGACCCGATGTGGGACTTGATCCCGGGTCTCCAGGATCACGCCCCAGGCTGAAGGCGGTGCTAAACCACTGGGCCACCAGGGCTGCCCCAGGCAATGGTTTCTTACAAATAACACCAAAAGCATACGCCAAAAAAGAAAAAAAAAACCACATAAGTTGGATTTCCTAAAAATTTAAAACTTTTGTGCTTCGGAGGACACCAGCAGGAAAGTGAAAAGGCCACATAATA